TCTTAAACTGGATGATTTCCCAAGTAGCTATTTAACAAGTGTTATGTTCCCTTACTGACATTTTTTAAAAGCCTATTCTTCCTCATATGATAGACATTGAGTTGCGAAATTGCATTGGGACCAATTTATACTGCCTATTTTACTCCCCACAAAGACTTTTTTTTTGCTGCAACCAACCAATGCCTGTGTGATGTGATTTGTCTTTTGAGACCAGAATGATACAATAAGGTTGCTTGCCAACAGATTCTGCATTCTTATGCGATATCTGTTTTTAGAGATGTATCTATCTGCCGGCAATGGAAGAATGTGTTAAAAGAATCAACACTTAGTATTATACATTTATTATATATATATATATACAAATGTTCCTATATGTGCAAATGTGCACACAAACAGTATAAAACAGCCTCAAAACAATGCCTTGCACCCTGACACAGAGACATGTTCCACTTCTCATCTTAAATCCAGTGTTCTCTAAATGTCTACAGGCACAGTATGATGAATATTGAGCCAAGCTGCACATTAACTTGCGTGTCTTATTTTAGAGATCTCTGACACCACATGGGAGCGGTTCAAAAAGCATGGCTTAGTTTACATCTAATCCATTGTTCCTCCGTGTCATATTTGTTTACAATCAATTTGACGGCACGGCAGTGCAGTTGCACAGAGACAAGGGCCTGGAGGAACAGGCCATGTTTCAGAGCTGCAGACTCTTGTAACAGTTCAGTGGGTGCGCCTCGGCGGTGCTGCGGGGAGAGCAGAGGAGGAGAGCGGGTGTCAAGGGTACAGAAGAAAGTGTGGACGGCTGAGGAGGAGAGATAGTGCAGGATTTGTCGGGAGTTTAGCAGACACGAGGAGAGCTCCTGAGGGCCTTCAGCAAACACACACGCATAGCGACTATTTCCTTTTATTCACCCCTACAGCCCTCGCTCTCTCATCCTTTTCTCTTGTTTTTAATGCAGATTCAGTCGTGTTTTTTTAGCTTTTTGCTCATTTAGTCCATAAATCTTGTTTATACTTTCTAATACAGCCTCGTCCTTTCTCTCTGGGTGTTTCTTTTTTTGGTGAGCGGGGATGAAGAGAATACAGAGTTGGCATCAAGGCCACTGAGAGCTATCAGGAGGAGACAGTCTCTCCCTGGTTGTCTCGCTTTGCAACAGATTGATCAAGTCTGCTGGAGGACAAATGATGCACTGACTGCCGGAGTTCGTGTGTGTTCATAAAAATCATGTGTCTATGTCAAATGTGAATGTGTGTATGCATTCACAAAAGCAGGCAGGAGATGGAGGGAAAGCGACAGCTCGCCCGTTAATTACTCGAGCTAATAGAGCAGCTGCTGATTCACTCCCGCTCCGTCAGACGCACAGCGGGACGGGGGGCTCGGGCAGGACATGTGAAGCAATAAGATGGAAGTGCTGTGACTCCGGACAGAGGCTGCTGGGAAACGTTCTGAGAAAAGCCATTAGACTGATGTAGTTCAGGGGCTGTCTTTGGATGGAAAGTTTTCAGACAGCAGTCACAGTATTAAAGGTGCTCTTAGGATTACGATTTAGTAAGTAAGTTCCCCAACAAGAAAGGTTGTTAAGAGGACTTTAAAGCACAATTCCTCAATATGTTGCTATGATTTCAATCGGAAAGAAACTTCTCTTGCTTTTTAACTTACTCCATTCCCCTGAGTCGCACTGGCCCACTTGTTTCTATGGCAACATGTCCTCAGACAAACCCTTTTAGTTTGAGAAAATATTCAAGGTAGTTCTTATTAAAGAAAATAATTTGCTACTGTAGAGGTATTAAAGCCAATAAACTATATTTTAATTGCACAGTAAGGAGGTACGTTTTTTAAACGTATGACATTTCATTTTAATATTTTAAACATAAAGCAAAAGTATCCATTCAAGCTATTTAATATCCAAATGTCAATATTAGATGCTAACACTTACTTTAATTTAATCAATTTCAATTCCAGCTTAATATGAAGCTTGATGCTTAGAAGTTTTAAATTGTTCAGTTGTTGACAGCTAGCTGTATTTGGTATAAAAAGCTAAAAGACAACAACTTGGTTAATCATTTCAAATATGGAAATTCCTGTTTCTCCTATGTCTATAAATGTAACACTTTTGATTTTGGGATGTTGATTGGGCAAAACATGAAGAGGTCTTCTTGGGCTTGTGGAAATTGTTCTTGCCATTTTGTTATTGTTTGACAATATAAACAATTGATTGAGAAATGAACAAATGCGGGTCCTAGTGAAAAGAATTGTGGCAACGTACTATGTGTTATGTACTTTTTCACACACACATAACAGTAGAAAACTTCATGCACAACAATGTCCCAATGGAAACAGAGAGTTCAACACATGGGGATTGCATATGGAGGCAGTGTGTGTGTGTGTGTGTGTGTGTGTGTGTGTGTGTGTGTGTGTGTGTGTGTGTGTGTGTGTGTGTGTGTGTGTGTGTGTGTGTGTGTGTGTGGTAAGACTCAGGGGAGACAGAATCGATGAGTACATAGGGGCATGAATGCAAAACAGAAGGGTCCAAATACTGCAAAGGGTGATAGAAGGGCTTTGCAGAATACAACAGTCAGCATATCTCTTCACTGCACCTTCGCATTCATGGTAAAAAAAAAAAAAAAAAAACCTGCTGCTCTTTCAGTGGATCTTTGGAAAGAAAGCCAAAATATTAGATTTAAGGTATTCAGTAAATAAAATAATTATAAAAAAAAAATGCAAAAGCAGGAGAGCTGAACATGCCATAAATTCAGCATGGACATGAGAAATATCAACGGCATGGTCAAATATTCACACGTTAATTAAAGTCTATATAAAGAAGTCTGTGAATGCGTGGCACATAAACGCTGATCACCACAAAGGCTTCTGCTTACGGAGTAGGAGCAGAGGGACGCTCTGATAACAGAGAGAGTGTAAGATTACGATAAGCCTCAGCCCTCCAGTTTCTACACTCAGGATTCTGAATCTGAGAAACAGAAGTGGGGAGCAGCTAAAGGAAGTGTTTCTGAGGAGATATGGGGGAACTGCCCAGTAGAGGGCGCCCCTCACTTAATGGAGTAGAGAGGAGCACACTGACATAGACACACATACAGTATACACACACAAGGCAGCATCTTAATTCTATTCACCATGGCAATATTTTTATGGCCATTATTTTCAAAGTCTCCCCTAATCTTACTCGTCATGTTCCAGATATTCCACCCCTCTCTCTCTTTACCCCGTCCTTCCTCGAGCCCTACACTGAATTTCTCAACTCGTGTCTCTCCGTAGGCAGACCCAGGCCTGACTCAACACTACTGTACTCACTAATGATCATCCAATGCCAGTGGTATTGTATGCCATCTGTTTAGCATATGCAAATACAACAGAGATGCGTCATCCTAACAGTAGAGAAAAATACATGCTTACTGGAAATGGACAGTCTTTGCACTCACTGACTGCGTTGCCAGGGAACAGGATGCCATGTTGTAAATACAGAAACTACTGGGGGCACTGAGGTTGTTTGCCATTGTATGTGAGTGTGCCTTGCTAAAAAGTAAAGACTGTAATGGTGTTTGAGATGCAACTGGTGGCTGAATGATGATCTATGAACTTTGGTGGAAGTAGTTTAAAAATGACAATGCACTACTGCTGACTATTCACTATGTAATGTGGCTTCTTGACAGTGCAATGAATCAGAATAAAAGGCATTTTCAGGGAGGAGCAACTATTTATAAAGAAAAGGAATGTGTGCAGTCGAGCGGATGCTGCTGTCAAGTCAACATAAAAAAGTTGAGGGTGTCTCGATTCAGGTATGGACAGATTTTAGGCCATGTGGGTTTATCGGTTCATCTGGTTGTCTTTTCACTTCCCATTGTTTTTATAGCACTTGAGTAAAGTTATGGAAACAGACTCCCATCCACCTCCCTTGTATGACGAGTTTTATTCATTTGCTAAAAGAGAGAAAAACACACAATTTACGAACTTAAGGATTCATTTGATCTATAGATATCGCCAAAATATCGCTTTGGGAGAAGAAAACCTATGAAAATCTCATATTGTGACACACAACGTGAAGACTACAACTACATCTTTATCCAATACCAGCGTCTGCTAAAACTTCCCTAAAAAACAGCTTCACATATAAATATTCATGAGTTATTTTAATAAGTGTCCACTCTGTCAGAACACCTTGTTCTTAGACAAGCCAAGAGATGCCCCCTTGGGTCCTCCATATTCATGCAGTGAATGCCAGCCCTGTTAACTAAACATATAGAAGCTCGTCCTGCTAAGAAAGCTAAGTCTTGTAAAATATTTCCCGAGCTAACATTTGTAAATCTCTTTACAAACGTTTTCTGTAATCAATTAAACCTAAGGATTTGTTTATTGTTGGATTGTGTAATACTAAGAGCCCCACACATCTGGCATCCTTGAAATAGAGAGATGAATAGAGTGGTTTAAATTAAAATGTGGCTCAGGTGTGGTTTCCTGAACGTTTATGCTCAAAACCTCAGTAAAACTGCTGATTTACAGATTTGTGAAGTTTCTTATCGGCTTAAGTGCAGATGATCTCACCTGTATGCTCCATCAAACATTAATTTCACGCTGCGAGATGCCTACCGGTTATAACTTGGAGTTCAGTGCTGCAACACCTAAAACTCCTAACAAGTTTCCAGGTCTCTCTTTATCGCCAAGGTTGCTGCGCCCGTGCTCTACTCTTCAGCTCACACTTGGCGAGGGTGTGCAGTGAGCTTTCTAATCATGTGTCTGAGAAACACAACATTCAAAAGGTAGAAATCAGTCTTTGCAGAACTAAGTGCAAAACAGAGGGCCAGGTTCACTGCAGAAATGAGCGGACCTAGCAGAGCAGCATCAGGGAGGTTTTGTTAGTGGGATGGATGGTCAGAGCACATGCAGTCTCATTGCAGGTGAGGAGTTAGAGAGTCGCCCAGAAGTAAACGCACAGAGAGTAATAGAAGAAGAAGTCATTTTTGTTAGGACTGCGGCCATGTACCTGAGTATATCTCCCTGCTCTTCAATTTCATCAGCAACCGCTTGACACCTGCAATAATGTGAAGAAGCCCGTCATCATCACAACTTCCCAACAACTGTGCCTTCAATGTACCCCTCCCTCTGAACTGTGAGGGGAGAATTTGAGGTCAAATGGAGAACCCCATGTGAAGATCCTGAATTGTGTTACCGGTAACAATGTAGCAGCAATAAAACATCAGTATAGTAAGAGTCACAAAGGGATCAGTTCGTGGCCAAATAATAAGGGGTCAAATAAAAGCAAGAAAACTTTAAGGCACGCCATAGTCACGTTAGACCTAAAAGGAAAAAAACCTAATGAAGGTTGGAAAGCCAAAAAGCATTTGATGAGGATATATGTAGACACACATTTTAATTTTCTTACATACATTCTTATCCAAGAAAAAAACCCATTTGTGTCCAGAATGTGTAGTCACGTTAGACCTTAACATAAACATTGACGTTTGTTGGCATCAAGCCTTCATCGGGGAGGATTTCTTTGGGTCTAACAAGACTATGACATGATGATGAAGGGGATTTAAATGTTGAAAAAACAGGCAGCCTTGTATTTTTTTATTTCTATTTTTTGTCTGCGTCTATCTTTAGAGAACCTCAAACAAACTATTTGTGTCCAGGATTCTCTCTGGCTATCCAAACATGTGGATTAAGTGTGGTTTAACTACATAAAGAGTACATTATTAAGAGTAAATATATCCAGCACATGAGGTATGAGCCCACAGATGTACAGAGAGCAAACAACAAAAACACATAGACAGACAAAAGTCACCCACCCACTGTGACCCCCCCCCCACCCACTCCAAGACTCCCACTAACTGGCTCCCTCCTTGTGTGTGTGACAGGTGTGTTTCCTGGAGAGGGCACATCTGTGAGGTCCTTACCTGTGTTCCTGTCTGGTATGATACAGCAATGCTTCTTCAGTATGCCTGGCAACACCTTTCAAGAAACACAAGGCGGAGGGAGGTGGATTGAAAGAGAGACAGAAAGAGAGAGAGGGGGAAAGATGTTAATATCACACCAGCTCGAAGCAGTTAAACAACATGAAGCTCAGACAAAGAGCACCGAGCCATGCTGCGACCAACAATTACAGAGTGGCACGATACGCACATTTCTCACACCATTTGCGTTATTTATCTAACACCTTTCTTCTGATGTGAGCAGTGGAGCACTAAATGATGGTCCCGGTGAGGATATGTGTGCTGAAGGTTTATTTTCTACTCTGATTCAGACTACAAACAGTCAAAAGGTGGGTTTAATGGCGTGTGAAGGAAAATATGATACGCTAACACTCCATTGGAATGGAACAACATAGAGACTAAAAAAAAAGAAGAAAATGGCTGGATTGAGACAGGAGAAAGGTTGGCAGTGTTATCAGTCGATCTGGTGTGGTCGCATCAACGGGGCCGATTTTAGAAGCTCTTTCTGCTCCATCAGCAATCTTTCCATGCCAGGAAGTTGTAACAGCAAATATAAAAGCCAATTATTGCACAACTCACACGCCTGAAGTGATCACTAATCAATAATACATGCTTACAGTCTATTCTGTGAGCATTACAATAGAATCCTAATCAATCTTGGGTGTATCTTAGCTGCTGATATATTGCACCTATGCATCTGCAAAATCATATCTCGAATCGAACGAAACCTCCCTTTTTTCATTTTTTTTAATGATGAGATTTTTGTTAAGCTTTGCGGTGACGCTGAATACCGTTATCGGTGTTCACAAGGCACAGATATTCAGAATTTCCACTAAAAATAAGTCCAGGGAACTAAAAAGGAGAAGGAGATGTGGAGGTGGCACAGCAGGTGTTATCAGTGCCTCTTTGTCCTTGCCTCTGACTGACAGGCTCATTATTGTACAAAATCACTTTAGTAATATAGACAGCACCCTTCTTCTTTCTCTCTGCTCTACTTTTCATTGTGATAATGTTAACGTTCTTTTACATTTTCACACGGTGGTTATATCCGGCTTCCCTGTCTCTCAGTGATTTTGCTTCTCTCTAGGACTGAACAAGAGCAATCAGATAAGTGACAGTTTTAATTAAGGAGACGGGCAGAATATAAAAAGGTACCTCTTGAAAAGATAGAGAAAACCAGGAAAGAAATAGAAATGAACTATAATGGCTTGTCTCTGGGGGCTTTTCAAAAGCTATATCAACGTACTATATAATTCATACAGGAGAAGGGCCTTAAGCACATACTTTTGTCATCTCACTTTCTACTTTATCAGCAGCAAGAGGAGAGATAATCCATCATTCATACAAACGCTTCCAAGCTAGTTTGTGCTCATAGTTTGCTTTCGTCCTTAAAATCTTAAAATCCTAAATACTGTCCTATGTAACATGCCAAAATAAGTTTAAAGGGGACCTATCATGCAAAATGCACTTTTGTACGTCTTTTATACATGAATATGTGTCCCCGGTGTTCCAGGGAACTCACCAAGTGTCAGAAAACACAACCCTCTCTATTTTCCTCCATACCCAAATCTCTAAAAAAGGGGCTGCAACGGATCTGATCAAAACTGATCCAGATTTGAACACTGTCCTGACGTCAGGACAGTGGCGCTACGGCTATTGGGCCAACTCCACCAATCAGGAGGAGACAGCCACGGCCATTGCCGTTCGAAAGCGCTGGAGACGCTGTAGTACATATGCCAGGCCTGTAGGTGGTGCTGTTCTCACTGAATCTGCCCTTGCAAAAACAGGGGTAAAAAAGTGCAAATTGAGCGAAATGAGGCATGGCTAAAATGCATGATCTGTTTGGTATTTTGAAAAAAAAAAAGTATAAATATGCCTTATATAGGTATGGTCCTACACTATATTATTATAATATAGCATGATAGGTCCACTTTAAACTTCAGTTTGAAGGAACAGGTACTGTATAAGCTCTTACTTTTACTTCTATTAAAAATAAACATACGTCCTACCATTCCAAATGCATTTCATTGCTTAGTCATTTGACCTCTAGCAATAAAGTTTTTTCATATCCTTAATCTTACTTTTTCTTTCCCCGATACAAAGGATTTTGCAACTTTTACAACAATTCATTAGAAAATCATGTGCTTGTGACATACTGAACATACTGGCAGACACCTGATCATTTGATTATGAAGTCAAGCCAACCCATTGGTTCAGCAGTGATCACAGGGCACACCACTGTCGCCTGTAGTCAGACGTATGGCACAGAATGGCTGAGTTGTCTCTTATGTCTTTGTGTAAAATTAACCATTCAAAATCCTATTAGACTGTTTAGAAAATTGCACAAAGCCTTCAGCATGGCTGTCTTTCTTAGCTCATGGTTATATTTTTGAATTTGTGGATATAGTTTTCACAGGACAGTGTAGATTGGTATTATTATCTGGTCTTAAAAGTAGCTTAACCTACGGAGCTTAACAAAGATACAAGTTTTAACTAAAGCTAATAGGGCAACCGGAGTATCAAAGCTATTGTGAAAACAATTTGACTAAAAGTATTTTATCAATTATATTGTGTTTCATATAATTTATTCAAATAGGTTTAAATCACAGTATAAATTATTTTTTCATTTAAGGTTAATGTGTGTGTATGTAAACATAATAGAAAAGTATGCTGAAGAAGATGTGGACCTTTAGATAAACACAGACTTATTTTTGTAACGACTTCAAATGACTTGAAAGGATTCTTAATGAGTGCCTTCTATTCCATGGTATGCATCAAAATGCTATTCAGAAAACACGTGTAAAGGACAGTTGTGTGGTGGCCACAAATAGAAATCTCTGCAGAGATGAGATGATTGCTTTGTAATGACTCAAACAGCTGCATGATGTACAGTTATAATTGATGCTGGCTAGCTGGGCGGCTGGCAGCGGCTTGTAGTGGAGGAGTGTGGAAACAAACTCTCAGAGACACTCTTCAGTGTTTCAGACACACAGAGTCGTCACTTGCCTCTCATTTACACCTTAAAGGAATTGAAGTCTGGAGACAAGGCGTCTCATTTCAGAGAAATGCATTGGGCATCCGTTTGTCTTTTCAAGCTTATCGTTAGATGAGCACAAAAAGGAGGATTGTGAGGATTTGTGTCACCTCATTCGAACAAGACAGATTTACAAGACACATCAGGACAATCCTATGGACGCATAACTGGGACAACTGGAAATGCAAACACTGGCTTATTTTTGGTATTTGCACAGATTTGTCGTATTATTCAAAGATTTGAATAGCTGGTTTCCTTCAAATCACAGCCAGGTAATAGCTCGACTGATTTTATGCAAAGAGCAGCCATGAAATAAATAACCTTTATTATATCAAAACCCAATCCATTTTCATCACCCATTAAATCAGCTTTTTGATCTGACAGTTTTGCCGTTTTTGTATTACTTACTGGAAATTCATTGCTTAGAAAGTAGAAGCCAAATCTAAAGAGTCAGCAAGTTAATAAAAGGCTCCATTTGGCAATGTTGTCGCACTTAACAATCAGTCCCCATTCTCTTGTAGCCTGAGGCTGTGAGAACAAAGGATTGAGTGGAGACATCATTAACTGCTCCTAAAGTAGATGTTTACAGAAACTCCTTTCATCACCGTTACATTTCTCCTGGCATATAAGGTGGGCTATGCACAGGATAAAAGTACAGTATATTATAGTGTTTTGGTCATTAAGAAACCCAATTCCCCCCGGGATAAATACAGTTTTCTGATTCATAAGACTGTTATAATAATGGAAGGAAATGCTGATAATAGAATTATAAACTTTTAGATATGCTGTGTACTTCAAAACACAATATTTCTTAGATTCCCAAGATATATTTTAAGACGTCAACATCATTTAAAAAAAAAATATATATATATATATATATACACATGTAATCAATCTACAGAATAGTGTGGCATCACATCCATTATAGCACCTGATTCAGCCACTTTTAAAATGACTCATCAAATACAAATGAGATAGAAGAGCCTGTTTAGACTGGAGTTGGGGGTAGCAAAGTTACATTCACAACAGAATCCATTTAGGTTATTTAGGACGATTTTCTGAGAACAAACAGAAAAACTTTATTTTTTTTTACTTTTCGATGAAATATAGTTACATGTTTTGGGCAATGGAGTTATTGGGCTACTTTCACAGAGATGTACTAAAAGCACTCAAGAGAGGCATACAGGCAAAGACTGCAGCAAAGGACGAGGAGAGAGAGAGCTGAATGCATGCTCATTAACTGAGACGAACAATCAAAAGGGCCGACTCAGGTGAGTCGCACAGCATTTAAGTCCATGAGGAAACTTTTCTGTCTGATATCAGCTCTCTGAAAATGACTCCAGACACAAAAGTACTGATTGCTCTCCTCCCCGAAAGTCCATTTGTCTGGGAGATTGATTTTATCTACTCATCAGGGAGGATCGGAAATAGACTGTCTGGTTAGACTTGTGCCCAAACTGAAGCTCATAAAAGTAAAGTTACAACATTAAGAAGCTGAAGGAGTCTTGTTTGTTGTTGCTTGTTCCTTTTCTCCCAGTGGTGAGCTGGGTGTGTCAACTGAGTTGTAGGCTACTAGACTTTTGTGTTAATGCCTCCAAACAAGTCAGGCTCCAATGCACCAGATTTGTAATGGCTCTGCACATGATCTGAGACTCGGGGCAACACAGTGTGACCGGTCAACAGGAACCGCTCTTGTCCCAGTGGTGTTTCAGGATGATCACAAATACCTGTCTTCATACCGGCCACACGCAGACACACAGACTCACTACCCATCTACCCACACTATAACTGCTGGGTACAGGCAATTATCAAGTGGCAGTGTAATAATAGGATATCTGGGCGCCTGCTGCTGAGAGCTAGAGAGCAACTCTTGGTGATCTAATGATCTGAGAGGACGGATGGGAAGTGGAGTCACTCCAATGCATCTCAAAGCTTATCCTGTTGGCCTTAAGCGCCGTCTGCTCCCTTCTTGCCCAGGCAAATTATTAAATGTAGTGGTGTGCCGATAAAGCATCAGATAAGAGTTGCACTGTAACCACTCCCATCAGTAATGGCTAAAGAGAAAGGACAAACAGAACTGTACAACATATTCAATGATGTCCTATAATATGACAATCTACGTGACGGTGGCCATGGCGGGAATGAAGGAGAAAGTAAGGTGTATCAAAAGTGTGAAAGTTACATAGGGAGAGGATCATGGTGGACGGAGGGTCCAAAAACACATGGACTTTCACTTAGGACGCCTGTGTACAGTAAGTACCATGTGTGTATCGAAAGGTCAACATTGGGTTAACCTTCTAAGTTATGTATACAAGTTGTTTAAGCTACTTAACTATCTTACAAATGTGCTTATTTTAACCAGAACCTAGAACTTTGGTCAACCGAACCAGTTTTTTTCCTCTGAAGTTTATTTTGAAAAGACAACATATGCACATGCTGAGTGGAAACTAACACGGATAAGATGAAACTGACGCGGTATATCGAGATGCCATATTTGACTGGATGGAAATGACAGCATGGCATTTGGTATTTGTTTGTAATCTACAGCATTAAAATACAATCCACATGACTAACTCGTAGTTTGTGTTGACCTTAACTTCACTTCACTCCTTTAGAACATGCACCACCTGAGACATGGGTAGGCATATAGATGAAAGGGAAAAGGAGAAGTGGAGATCCCCTCCGTGTGCTCATGCATGGAGGCAAGTGGTGCATCTGGAAGGTGCAGGGGCGTGTTTCGCAGGTTTGGACGTAATTCAAAGCTTTTACCTAAAATCCTACGGTGGACCAATGAATGGCGTATCATTCAGAAATATGCAAATATGCCAGATGTTTAAGTGGAATAATGCAAATGACCCATTGTTGGTCTCTAATACATCTATGACCACTGATTTATGACTTTTACCGAAAATACATATGATGTCATAGGGTCATTGATTTACATCAACAAGGTATTACTAGTAGGAAAAATGTATTTTTTGTTAAACAGCTTGATTGGGGAAATGTAAGCAATTCCCAGGAGCTTAATCAAATCTCTTAGACCTGTACTGTTCAAAAGGTGAGCTACTTCAATGTCCTCCTCTAGAGGGGACTACTTTATTCAAGTTCTTTGTTTGTTTAAAGGGTTTTCTAAAGACTTTGTTTTAAAAGAGCTGGGCCTTCCGCCAACAGTAATAGTATTAGAACTTTAACTCAAGGTGGACATCAAGTACTTGGAGTTGTACGATCTTTCACTTGGACAGGAATCATATTTAACATTTTAACAGTGTTAACACAGAGGCCCGTAAGGGACACATTTCTAATTCCTTTAAGACCAGGAGATGATGTTCTTTTGTTTCAGGTCAAAGACTTTCAAAGGCATACAGCTGTCAAGAGGCATGGGCAGCCCACTCTTTGCTGTGCCAACTTCCGAAGACAGCTGCTGTTAGGATGGAAATGTAATTGTCTGGCTGACAATGACAGCCCAGTAAAATCCTCATAAATGACGATAATTCCAACTGGGATCAAACTGTCTGTATTAATGACTGTGCAATTACAATAAAGAGGAAAGGTTACAGAATGTATACCAGCTTGCTAATGGCCCTTGTAATGAGTCACATCTGACTTGGGGCTATGTGGCAGTTATTTCAGTGACAGTAACACTTGGAGAATGTGCAATGGCACCCACCTGCCTGGAAGATACGTGCCCAGCACAGTGCAAAGGCAATCAACTGAGTAGTGTTGGTGCACAGGTATACACAGATACACCTACACACACAAATACTCACATGCTTTATATTACAGCTCACACACTTGGCTCTCATGCATTATTAGATTCATAACACTATGTCCCATCCATCCCCTGCATTCCCTCTGCATCCCTCTGCTAAAGCCAAACTATTACAGAAGTGCAGGGGGGGGCATTCAAGAGGGAAGGAATAGAGACATAAAAAGAGAGACAGAGGGAAAGAAATAAGGTGGATAAGGTGCATGTGCAGGGAAGAGAATGCATTCAAATGAGAGGGAAGAGGAATAAAAAGTAGGGCTGCAAAAAATCTCTTTTTTAAAAAAATCTGGATGGGATTGGGATGTCCTCTTGTAGTACAGTATAAACACATTATGAACGACTGTGCTACTGCACCCAGGGGTTTCTGAAGTTAAAAGAATATTTGTTAGAAATGTTATTACTATACATGTATTGTTTTTATTGCTTTGTTATTGGCACTTTTTGCTCAAAGTTCAATACAAACATTTGGAATTCATTTTCTCGTATTTTTCAAATTTAACAGATGTGTTGTATTTTATACGTTTCTCCGAGGCAGCAGAAAGGGAGAACTGAGTAAAATGTGTTTATTTATTTTATCGCAAGAAATATTGGTTTGGCGACCACATTGCCGCATATTTTCCTCCTATCGTGCAGAAGAAGAATGGTACACGGAAGGATAGAGGAGAAGACCATTGGTCACGATGAGAGGATGAATAAAAAAAGAGCCTGATAAATGTTTAAACATGTTCTTTTAGTCAAACTTGTCTACATGCACTGCTGCCTCTCTCCCCCAACACCAAAGGACATCACCACACGCACAAATGTAGCGTTTCAAGTTTTCTATGCATCTTCAAAGAGATTATGAAAGCCGTATCATGTTGCTGTCTAGAAGGCAAGGTCCACACAAGCTTCCCATTCACAACATTGTGAGACTCTGTATGGTCATGTAAGCAATTTTTTAGAGGTGCGTTGAAAATACCCTGAAACGAGCTACCTATTTAAAAGTTCTTCTGAGGGGATGCGGTGTCAGTTTTCAATTAGGTGTTTTTGTCCTTTATTCTTTGTACGCAAGTGGTAGCTTATGATAGGCTTCTTTTCAAGTAAGGAAATTGCCTGGTAGCATTGAGTAAAGATTTTTTCATCTCGTATAATTCATCAGGCTTTGATTGAAAGCAGTTTTAAAGCAGAGCGAGTGATGTGGATGAGGTGAAAGGTGGGCTCCCCCCTGAAGCTGGTAAGTGACAAGTAATTTATTCTTCAGTCACATAAGGTCTTACAGAGGCATGTATTTCTCGCTTGCCGCCACCTAGCATTTGTCCACCCACAGGTTCCCTCTCTTTCAGTTTCATATGCATATAGCACACGCACACATAGGCAATGTATACACACATAAACCTGCACACACAAAGATACTGTTAATCTCACTTGTATTGATTACAAGTAATTATGTTTGCTGCTGAATGCCATTACCACTGCTCTTTAGCACTTCTTGCCACCTGCATAATAAATGAACATGGGACCCGGAATTAAACATGCTTGTGGCAGAAAATGCTTGTGGCAGAAAATGCCATTTCTGTATGCACCACAGTGCACATATGTAAGTGAAAGAGTCCATCAGTTGCACAACCAAGCATCTGGGTGTTATTGAAAAAAGGCTGGCGGACCAATGCTGTCTAAAAATAAAGTTTTTTTGCATTATTAAGAAGGAAGGAGTACAACATACAGGAGCATCTTGGTAAAACTTCCATCTGCGCAGGCGAACAGCAAAAACTCTGCTCAGCTTCTAAAGCATTGCAATGAATATGGTCTCCTATTTTTAGCACCTCTGATTATGATGTCTGACTTTGTGAGTGCTGGCAGCCAGCACTTTGTCACTCACTGTGTGTGCTGAATACTGTGGATTTGCTGTGGATTCGGCAGCAGTGCTGAAACAGGCACTAAACAACTTCCTTACTTTTTGTGTCGCTCAATCATGGGAATCTATTGGAGCTGAGACATCAATACTTGCGTCTGCACTGAATCCTAAACAATGCGATGTGTCAGAGCACAACTGAAACTGATGACAAGTTTTTTACACAAACAGCCTCTTAACTTTTTTTCTTATCTTGCAACATCTCCAACAGCAGAAAAGGCTTGATTTATACACCAATTATCACCCATTCAAAGGAGTACAAGTCTCATTACTTTATCAATCACAAGCCTTTTGGGAATTGTGCATATGCTATTCAATGCCTAATCCACTGCAAGGTATTATATAACATGTTTGCACAGGTCTGGGTAGTCCCTTGTTTCTTACAAAACCTACAGCTCATGCTTTCTTTTTATAGCTGATTCAAGCTTCTCATTCAGAATTGCCAGCACAATTGGCTAGACACATTTAGTCAGTGAAGATCGTACACCCACAGAGACTACAGTCGGCATGTTACATACAGTATTACATGACAGTGCACACCAGGAGGAGTGTGGGGAGACATAACATCCATTTGAGAAGTTAGCCTTGTACTAAGTGGGCTTTTTTCTGCCTGAAATGCTCCTCATCCAAGCCTCTTCCTCAGGGCTAAATTCAAGTGCAGGAATTACATCCATGTGGCAAATCAGATGAGTTGTGAAAAAATGCAAGTACATGCACACAGGTAATGCAAAACACATAATATGCTGTTTATTTTTTTCTTATTGTGATGACTGAACATATTTCAATAAATGTGCATGTTTGTATTACATTCAGTTTAAATCATTATGGAAGGGTTTGCAGTTGTATCTTTAAGGAAAAAGTCAATTGTCAAAAGTCTGCTTGCCATACCCAATTAAGAAAATCATGCAACCAAAATGCTTAAACACACCCATTTTTCACCACTGCATGCATTTCTCATTACTGTAAGATGACACATAACAATGTCAGAACCCTGCACATGTCAGATTTTAGGAGTTAAATATTTGTTAGAAGATCAATAAGAGATACAAAAGAGGCTTTACCTTCTTCAGAGCTGACATCATAGGTGGATCCTCTTCCTGCAAAGCCCGTTCACATGCTGAGGTCCCAAGCCAAGTTTGGAGGGTGCGCAAATCCTAACTCAGCCCGGTGCTGATGCTGAGCCATGAGGTGCCTGCTTAGTATTCTCATCTCGCTTCCACCCCGTCCTACAGCTGGCGTGGTGTGCGCACACCCCAAACCGCTGTTATTGCAGGATTCAAACACATGGGGAGCTCTAGTCTGAAGCATGGCACTCATCAAACCTCATGAGAGAAAGTTGGCAGTGTACAGTAAAGTGTTCAAAAAACTTGATTTTCTTGGGCAGTGAGACACGCTTGTGAAATTCGTTTTGAGTTTTTGAAGTAACAAGAGTCACATTTTAATTCGTCTCCCATTTAATATTGTAGAAGCAATTTGCCTCAGTAAAAAATGTTTTTATTTTATTATGTATTTCTCATCACACTGGTCGAGCAGCTCCAAAAAATGCTATTATGTTCTACACATGAACTGAACAAGGCTGCTTTATATGCCGATTTGTAGAGTGGGTTAGTCTGATTAAAACAATATATTGAAGTATGATATACAGGTACTTGTCCTTTCTGACAACTATGGTTACATTAAATTGACATGTTTTTGAATGTGAATCGGCGCCATTAGACCAAGTGAGCTCTAACTTACCCGTCTGAGCTGGTGACTTGTTGGGGAGAGGGACAGTGCAGCAGGAGTAGACCGAGCATTATTGCACTTATACTGTACATTTTTAAAGTATAGTTAACCCTAGCCATTCCATTATCTTTTTTAACACGGACCGTTACAGCGCACAACATTTCCACAGTTGCGTGACGTAAACATCTGTTATGAATCAAGCTAATGTTAAAAGCTAGCATGCTGGGTTGCTAACTCAGCTAGCTTGTAGCATATTAGCTAGCTAGCTGCTGTTACATTGTAGTGTAGGCACTCTTCTTCTCCACTCGGATATATAACGCTATGTCAATATGGCACGTAGGAAAGAAGGTGAGCAGCACAGGTGTCGCAAATTACGTTATTAGTCACATGAAAAAAACCTAAACCTGTTGAATTGCATGCAACCAGCTAGCCAACTAGCTGCCTAAAACTCGCGTTAAGTGCGTTCTAGCTGTGTTGTAAACAAATGCACGTGCTTGACTGTCAGATTTTAACTACAGTTTTCAGTGCGCGTGTGTCAATACTGGTGTCCAATACTAAGTCATTGTTATGGTTAACAGTAGCATACGTTGAGTTTATATTAAAGCTTTTCACTTTTCCATTAAAATCCGGCAAAACAAAGTGTTTTACAAGTGATAGCTGACAGTTTATGTTGCTATTTATGTTAGTTATTTGGGGTATTTCACAATTTAAACAATATGTATTCAACATGTAGTCCTTTAACATCGGTTCCCTACGAAATATATAAACATTTGTGTTATTAGAAGTACTCTTAATAGTTCGTAGTTGTAGGATTATTGATAATACTGCTCTTGCATTGATACATTTGGAGTACTTACTATCTATTCAACATGCACATGGCCTTTCAATAAGACCTATTTCAAAGATGCTCTTTGAGCTGGTGTTTCCTTTAAATTCATCCTGCTTTACATTAAACTTACATTTGATATACAACCCACAATCGGATTTACATTGCATTTATTGATGTGTTCCTCTTTTCTTAGTGTGACTTTAACATGTGCATTGTAGCCTAGTCAAAGTAAACAATTTCAATGTAATACAACCAAGATACTCTATAAACGTATAAACACAAAAATCACACTATACATATAAACCAATATACATTGATAATTCATATTAAATGTGTTAAAACTGGACACAGCTCTAGTTTTCTTTTAGCCAGCACCTGGCCTCTGTTGTTTTTAGTTTGGATTATTGTTTTTCGCATACAAAGACTTGACAATAACAATGTATGACATTAACAGATGGTTTACTTTTTTCACCTAGTATTTCAATCAAAAGTGCTCAGGAGGCTTTACCCTGCAGCTCCCAAGCAGCAGAAGGAACCCAGCCCACCAAGCATTGTAGATGCACTATCCAAAAACACACATGTGAAGAGCAAAGCCTCTCAACAGGACACTGCCATTGGTAAGATCACATTCACTTAACTGGTTTCACTTGCTGCTTAAAATGTATAATCTTTATTATGGTATGCGGAGAACTGCTGCCACTTGGCTGCTCTTACCATTTGCGTTTTTAACTTAAATGTATTCTTCATGTCTTTCTCATCAGATGCAGGGACGACACAGAGTGCAGACAATCCGGGCAGGCGGATGTACACAGCCTTACCTCCTCCTGCAGACTACAAACGAGATTCAGAGAAATCCGTCACACTCTCCCAGTTAGAGAGCATAAACAGTGCAGAGGACCCAGCTGGTAAGATGGCCATAATCGTACTTTTATGGACTTGTACTGTGCATCATAAAGCTAGGAGAGATTTACTGCATGGGATGCTCTAGGTTGACTTTCATGTATAAAGTCACTCTTCTTGATTGTCTCTGCCACTCAATTTAGGGGAAACAGACATCAATTGTGTTTCTGAACAAAGCGAGCTTGAACACAGATGGTGGTTGTGCTTCGGTGATTTTCACTTTGATCTGTCTATTGAATGGATTGTTTGTCAGAGTAAACTTGTATCCATGCTGCAGTGATTATGCATAATTTAAAGAGGGTTTATTTTGTCTGCGCTCCGTCTAGACTCTAGTCTCTTCATGAACCTACTGGAATAATCAGACTTTAATAAGAGTCCAGACTCATTACACCTGCCTCTGTACTCATCATCTTACTTAATGCCGACCTCCATCCACCTGACAGGCTTCTGCATTACCTCAATGAAACAGAAGAGATTATTAGATTACTAGAATAAAATATTAGGTTTAGTTTGATTATTTGCACTTGTCTTCCTAACAGCACCTTAATGCAAGCGTTCTTTGTAGTTGGCAGTGAACATTAAATGAAATTGGAAATCAGTCATGTTTAAGATCAGCACGGGTTGTGCATCATAAAGACAAGTCACATATCAATATAATATTATAGACACAGTACATCGTTAGCAAGTAGAAATGATATTGTAATGTGATGCATCACAGATATATCTTCTTACTGTGTTTACACTTTACCAGTGCGGTCTGAACAGGGCTTCCAATTTAAAAATAAATGTTGGACTACCAAAGCGTCCACTTCTGTCTTAAAGTGATCATGATAATGACGATTACTCCCTATTTTTGTGTTTTTACTAAATTCTTTGATATATATAATGTGTGGCAGGTGTGGCTATTAAAGACATGTATTAAGGCTTGAAGCAATGATCTGTTTCTATATGCTGAGCAACACATTGATTAGAGATACTTTCGTTTATTTTAAGCCACCGCAGAAGGACAGAATGAGTACAATTTACCATAAATATTTTCTCTTGTGTACATGTTCCAGGAATGATGCATCTCTGTATACTCTCATGGCTGTTCCAAATGGTGAAGCGCTGTCAGGATGGCCTTTCAAATCAGTCCAAAAATCAATGATATACTAAATTGAACAGTGTAGTTCTCTGGTCTTCCTCTTCAGTTCTGGTCATTATTGCACAGCCATTCTCTCTGCTGCATCATGTTCTGGCTGTAAGCCTATTCACTGCTCACTAGCGTAAACGGGTCACTAACTTTTGGATGGGAGCTGACTTCTTTGACCCCTCAATACCTCTTTGAGTTGTTAAAGAGAGGGGAGGTGTGGCGAGGCGGAGAGAGGGAGCTGTTACTGCATGGGCTCACAGTCAATCTCTAGACATTACATTTAATGGTTCAAATAATAAAACATAAGAGAAGAGACTTCTTACTCCGGCAGCATTTATTTTAGCAGCAACTAACCTAAAAAGCAAAAGAAACTAAAATAAAACTGCAGGAGCTCTAATGATGTGGTGTGTGTGTATGCACAATGCAAGTTAACATGCACGTTGGCCCTGTTTTTATTTCACTTTCATCGGAGTGCTGGATTCAAAATAAGCGAAATTGTTACCCAAGGCGTTGGAGATACAGATACTATTGTATATAATCAATGCATCAATGATAAAATGATTTTTGAGTACTATTCTGTCAAGAGGTACTAAATAACATTACACATACAGAATATTGACTCGACTGTACTTTTATAAACCACCTTTAGTCATAAGTTCGTTCCATTTGAAGCCATTTTTTTTTTTGTTTTAGATGCAATCAGCCAAAAACAAGGAGTTTATTTCGTGGAATTAGCTGTTCAAAATATGCTATCTCTCACCCTGCGCTGACATGAACTCCAAAATCTTACTTTTATAGTTCTGAGAGGTCCATAAGGAGAAAGCCAAGTATTTTATAAGTTTAATAATATTTATCTAGAGTTTTTTATCTTGTTTCCTGCAGAGGAGAGCAGCCATGACAGCAGCGAAGAACTAGACCAAGATAAAGAGGAAGAACAGAGAAGAAGAAGAAAGAGAAGAAGGAAAAGGAAACCAACCCTTCATCAAGACTCTGGGGAAGGTGGGGCAGCTTCAGTGAGTGAGCCCGGCACAGGTCAGAGTCAGACACATGTGGATGAGGCAGGAGAGCAAATGAGCAAGAACAAGAAAAGGAAGCTGAAGAAGAAACGGCACAAAGAGAAGCTGCTCTCCATGGGTCTGATGCCCCGAGCAGCTGCTCTGGAGTTCACATACCAAAAGGATGTGGAGGAGGAAGAGGATAATGAAAGGAGAGCAGCCGAGGTGTCAGACTTTCTCAGGACAACAATGGAAATCTATATGTCTGATTGTAAGTATTGAGTCCAGGGGTGCTTGCTTTTTTGGATCAAATCGTCTCACACATTCTCTGTAATAAATCTCGCAGCCATTGCTACGGCTTGTGCTCATTTTATGGTAATATTTGGAAAATGAATACCCTGCCAACAACGCCAATCATTTTAGGTGCTATTATGCCCAACACTGATGGTTTTCTAAGATGTAGTTTACAAACACATAATTAACTTCAGCCAAAAGCTAAAAAAAAAAAACGTGCTAATTAAAACAGT